TGCAGATTTAGCTGTGTGGCCACAAAAGGTCGCCCTGGGTCCCACTGGCCGTGCTGGGCTTGGGCAATGCCGCGGCCCCTGCATGCTGCCGGACGATGCTCTTGCATTAGGAAAAACAGACAAAATTGAGTGGTGAGAGCTTTCCGCGAGAGGGCACCAGCTGCAAGGGAAATGCACAAAACCTGGGGAGGCAGGAAGGTGCTTTTGCCGTTCAGTTCATCTCCTGACCACCTCCAAGTGTCCAGCTGTCCACAGCATGCCAGAATCTCGTTCTGTTTTGGGGCAGCCAGGCACCTTTATATAAATATATATAATAAATACATATATTATTTTTTACAGTCTTTCATTAAGCTTCTGGGACAAGGGAGAAGGTGTTGCTTTTCAGTGCTGTTAGCTGAGCTTCCCAAAACCACCTGAACCACAGATTCCGTGCAAGCAATATAGCTAGAAATGCCCCTTTCTTCTCCATTTCCTGTTTTTTTTCCGCCCTCTTTCTCTCTGCTTTTCACCCTCCTCTTTACCACCTCTCCCATACCCTGCAGCCATGCTGGGACAGCTTCCACCCAGTGAAGAACAGCCTCTGGAAGTGAAATATTTCATGGAAAAATATAAATTCAGCCCAAACCTGCCCTGTTGCAGACCTGCAATGCTGCTTCTCTCTCCGCTCCAGCTTTTCAATAGCTGCACAAAGATGTGATAGCACTTCTGAGAAGGAAACGTGATTTTTTTTGCATCTTTTACATTTCTCACATCACCTCTTCTTCTCTGGGCTGAACAACCCTCAGCCACTCCTCACATGCATTGCCTTTGGAGAGCACACACATCCCAATCTCATCTCCATCTCCACTCCAGCAGGATCCATCCATAAATCCCAGCTCCCACAGGCTGTCCCCTCCCATGTCAACTGATGGCCTGGTGGGCACCAACTCGTATCTCCAGAGAGTGACTGAGATGGGTCAGCCCAGTGGTAGTCACAGGGCTTTTTTGGGGAGCTTCTCTTTGATTTAAGCACTAAAAATCTGGCCCCTGGCAAATCTGACAGGTTAAATTAATGGGAAATCTCTTTGGCTTGAAAGGATCGTGGTTCTGCTCTTGGCCCGTGGGATTGGAAAGCACTTTAAGACTTGGCTGCCAGCTGTTGCAGAAGTATAAAGTATATTTAATGTGATTTTTATTCAGCTCCTTATGGCAACGACGGCACGAAAATCTCAGAAACTCATTTACACCCACTATGAATCTTAATGCAGGGGTGGAAAAGGGTTCGAGTTCTGCAGTACTGAGTATCCAAAGGAGCTATAGGTTGTTTTCAAAGGAGGCTCAGGCCATTTCCAAGAGCGATTGCTGGGGGTGTTGTGGCAGCTCTGTTTTTCCCCTGCCGCTTTCGTGTGCTGTCTGGGATCTGAAGGCACGCACTGCAATGCTGATGACTAAAGGTTTCCCTTTCTCATCTTGTTCAAAAGCTTTTCAGGGGAACAAAAGAATGGTGATGGGAAAAATAAGATGTAGCACAGCGATATGGAACAATAGGGAAGTTAATTTAATGTGAAAGTTAAAGAAAATGATGGTAAAGGGTCAAGTTGAACTTCTCCACACCCTTCCCCATCTCCTCAGTACCCTGATTTATATTAGCTGTGTCTGACCCGAATGAGGGCTGTGCCTAAATACATTATTTCCTTCCATGACATCAAAGCCTGCTTGATGCTACCCGCTGCCATCAAAGAGGACAAACACCTTGTTTTTATGAGCTGTGCGGGGCGGAGAGGAAGCAGCGAGTGGCTGATGTGCCCGGAGGAGGCCATTTCCTACACCCAGCCCTTTTCCGAGTGCTTACAGCCTGCAACCACTTTACCCTCTGGTAATATTGCAGCCAACCCAAACAGCTCAGGTCTGCTTTGGGAATGCCCTGACACAAAGATGCAGAGTCCGCTGCTCTGGCACTGGGGCAGAGCATCCAAGAATATCCCCAAGACTGGGAACACTGCTAAGAAAGTCTTTTTCCCAATCATTAAATCCAACGTTGTTTCATTTTCACAGGGCACTGTGAATTTAAGGTGCTGCTTTCCATCACATGGCGCTTTGTAGACAGGTGTTTACAGCAGTGTGCAGGCATGGCATCATAATCAAAGGAACGTGCCTAAACCAGAGATGCTGGGCAGCAGTGGGGGGACAAAAAGGAGATCCCACCCTATTCTTCCCACTATTCTCAAGTATGGACGAGGAAAAAGTGGAGCGATTGCTTCTGCCAGCAGCTCTGCAGGCACAGGCTGCCCTTTCTTAACCTGCAAAGGGAAAAGGAGACCCTGTGTGTACTTAACCTAAACTTTGTTTTTATGACTCTCGAGGCATGTCTATGCATTTTCCTGTTTTTGCTTTGTTCCACGGGATCCTCAGCCAAGTTTCTGTCCCCTTCCAAATAACCCTGGCTCCTGAGCCAGCAATTCTTGCTCTCTACATACTTCAGTCCTCTACGGTGAAGACATTCGGTATCTTTGAACAACATAACATCTCTTCTCTCCACCATCCACCACTCAACTCACTTGCTTAGAAATACGCCAGGTTTCGAGGAAAGGAAAAGAGGAAATCCCTGGTCCAGCAGAGGGTGTTTGAGTGGAGAGACGGGAGGATCTTCAGTGCAAAAGGGGAAATCTGGGGGGATGCAGGGGGATTCCTTGCCTAGCACAAAGCGTTTGAGTGATGGAGTGGGGCACTTGACTCCTGCAAACGATCCCTGTGCAGGAGCTCCCCAGCAGTGCCTCTCCTACCCTTATCAGCAGGATGGGATGCATGGGGCACCCCAGGGGTGCTGCTGGCACTTGCAGCTTGGGGAGCTCCTCAGTGCCTCTGTTGACAACCTGGCTTGTGCTTGGCCAGCCTCTAAACAGCTCAGGCTCTGCCTAAAGCAACCCCACATCATCGTCTGTGTGAGGTGGGACAAGCATCCTGTACCAGCAAGGGAGATGCTCTGGTATGAACCTCCCTGCCGGGTTCAGCATCCCACATCCCAACAGGAGCGTGATGCATTGCCATGCCTCCCAGGGCACGCTTTTAAAGCCATTAATCTCCTGTTAAAAACACCTGTTCTCCCTACGAACCCAGTGGTATGGCAGGAGAGCATTTTGGAGAGCGTAATAAAAGACACGATTAGAAAGGCAGGCTTTGATCTGCGGGAGGTAAGGAGTTCAGGCAGCTGTGCCAAAACCTCTCACGCAGTCACTTCTCCTACAGCAGCATCCTAACAAAGAGGATCTTGTGTCCACGATGCCTTGTTACAGCCCCTTCCCAAGCCCCAGCCACCTGTCCATGATGTTCAAGGTTCCTTGCCCATAACATCCAACAGAATCAGATTTCACGGCCCCAACGCTTGTGACCAGCTCCCGGGCTTTCCTCTCTGTGACCCAAAGCCTGTGCTGCAATGGCCTCTTTGTGTGTTGTGGCTCAGGCTGCCAACAGCTGGTTCACATCCAGATGTGGCCCCACATATGTGGCTGAGGATTTACTCATGGTGTGGGGACTCTCCAGAGCATCCCTTCAGACCTGCCTATGTGGGCCCACAAATGGAAACGTGGTGCTCATTTGCTCTTTGGATTCTGAGGATCAACTCAGAGCTGCATCTTGTTGGCAGGATCCACCAGCCAGAAGTGGCACTGTGACTCCCAGAAGCTGTGGACATCATTGTATCTAGCCCTGGGGAATTGTGGGTGTGCAATGCTGACATCCTGCTGCAGCTTGCTGTCTGTTTTCATTGTCAGCATTTCCCCTTTCTGAGCATTTGCACCATATTCACTGGCCAACGAAGCAGGATTCCAACCGTAGTCAGCAAATGCCTTGTGCTGCATGCAGGTGGGTGCATCTCCACCTTGCTAATGCAGCTGTGTTCAGGCTGGAACACAGTGCTCAGTGTGCAGGACACATTGTGCTCAGTCTGGAGGCAGACCCTCTGGCCAGCAAACACAGAGGCTTTTATCTTGTGTTTAGAAGTGGTTAACCTTTGTGGTTTTAAACCTCCTTGCTGGGTTTGGTATATGCATGTAGCAAGGGGACACTCTCAGGTCATTACAACCAGGGGTGCAAGCACAGGAGCAGGTAAGTGGAAAGCTCAAACCTGAACTACACCAGACCAGAAGTCCAAACAGGACTGGTTCTGACCTTGCCTTCCAACTGGGCTACTTTGAGATCCACACGTAATACAAAGACGTCTCAACCGTTATCTATGCTGTCACAGCACAGGAAAGATTTCATCTCAACAAGACACCTGCATCATTTAAACCTGGAAGAGCTGACGCACTGAAGACTGCATTGCATGGGAAGCTTTCACCTTGGCAGGAGCACAGAAAGCAAACCAACAGGTCCTTTCCATCCTGAATTTCCCTGAGTCTTTGTAGGCAGGACTGCGGGGGAAGCACTTCGTGAAACAAGAACAGGAAAAATTAGCTCTTCTGGTCTTCTGCCACATACTTTCCATAAATGCTGGAACGAGGCGGGTCTGAAAAGGAAGTGAGATGGATACAAAGCAAGAGGAAAAAAGCTCAGTGACAGAAATCTACCTCCACCAGACATGCCACATAATAAATATTTCACAGGGCAGGCTTTTCATCCAAGTCTCTGTGACGGAGAGGTCTTGTCCCACCTCTGCATCCATCACTTCCTCGGCCAGGATGAGAGGATGCCCCCAGCACTCCCCTTCCATCCCACACAGGACATCTTCCTGGCTCCCCAGGAAACAGCAGGTAAAAGCAAGAGTCCTGCAGAGCCTCTTCCTGCAGTCTTTTTGCCAAATGTTGCGCCTGGGACCTCTCAACATGAAACAGAGTTTGCTTCTCCTAGCAGAAGTTTTTCATTAGAGAGATTTGGGTTTTATGACAAGCTTCATACATTCCTACAGATATTTTGTGACTTGGTGATTTCACATAAAATGAAGCTTTCTAAGAAAAGAAAAGACAGAGGAGAGCAAATGGAGAAGGCAGTACCAAAGAGCAGACAGGTGTGCATAGGTTGGATAGTAATGCTCTGCGATGGGGTTTGGGCACCAGGAGCCACAGATACGACAAGGATGCTCCCACAGCATTCATATAGGGACTAAGCATTGCCAGAAGAGGTGCACGAAGGCAAAAAGGGAGTAAGGTTACATATAGGTCTATGTAAGGGTAGGTTTCCCATTACTAGACACACATGAATCCACTGGTACTGTAGGACATCCAACAGGAGCAGCTTGCAGCAAGTTGGCATGGGGTAGAGAGATGCAGCCACCATAACCATGTTGCAAATTCGCCTCCTTGTTGGGAAGGATAAGGCTGGGCATAGCCAGCTGGAAAAGATCCTTGAAGTGCTGAGTACAGGCTTGCCAGGCAATTAGTATCGCTATTGTCCACAGTGGTTTACTCCTCTCACTGTGGGTTTTGTGTCTTCTTAATCATATCTTGATTGGCCTGATGGGAGGACGGGTCTGCAGGATTTGGGGAGTGCTGACGTGGGGTCTGTGCTCTGCTGGAAGTGACTGGTTTGATATCACTAATGGGGCAGCGGTGTGGGGAGATGGGCTTCTAGCATGGGCTGGGACTTCAAATCTAAAAGGAGCCTAGTAATCAATAAAGGAAAGTTGGTTAAAAGACTGGAACAACAGCATTCAGCACTAAAACAATTCCCAGAGCCATGCACACTCCATAAACGTGTGAGTTTATGACAACAACAGCAGCAAGAGTGCAACTCATAACATTGCCCTTCGATCAGCGTTCCTCTAACGGGTTCCAGACTGACAATAAATGAGATCCCTAAGTTCTGCTTTTAGTTCTGCCTGTGAGCCAGAACAAAGCATTGCACAACCCCAGCAGAAAAGGCCGGGCCTCAAGGGCACCCCAAATGCCAGAGTCCTTGGAACACCAGCAAGCTCCATCCCAGCACTCATGTTGGAAAAAGTGACCCATCCCAGCCCCAGAGGGGAGAACAGAGCAATGAAAGCCTCACTTCATCTGCCAGACATCTCAAGCAGAATTACCTACTGATGAAAGCATCTCTGCTAACATTTTTTTTTTGTCTTCCGGAAAGCAATGAGAGCGGAAAAATATCCATTCAAAATGAAACAGAAAGTTGCTCCTTTTCACCTCCTTTGTCTTCTGTGGAAGAGTTCAGTGAAGTTTCCTTTGCAAAATATTTTTCTTGCCCTTGCAGTTGTTTCAGCTCTCCCGGCTGCTCTGATTACTTACCACCTCCAGAGTTCCTGTGACATTTATTTAATGATCCCAAACAGCCCACAAGTGAAAGCTGAATGAAAAGAAAGCGTAACATTAGCAAATTATTACCAAATCATTTCCACCTTCTTTGAATGCCAGTCTCACTGTGAATTTTTTTCTCCATATTAGCCTAGTTAGTCAGTTTTATCACACTGGTACATACTAGCTTGGCACTATCATGCCTGTCAAACCTTGGCCCATTTGCCAAACAAGATGATCACTGTGGTCCTTTTCAACCCAGGCCATTCTATGATTCTATGATCTGTCCCACTCAGAGGGCTGGGATGTGAGCTGGGGGGCACACAGCAGCAGCGCTGCTCAGGATGGGACCCTGCTGCAGCCCTCCTCAGGAAGGTATTTTGGTATGGACCCAGCAGCTCCACAGTTCCCTGGCTGCTGGTGCAGCTATTTAATTTAAGCCACAAAGCTATTTATTCTGTCAGAACACTGCGCTTTTATTAGCCATTTATTTACAGTATGTGGCATTCCCCGCGTGCACGACCTGCTCACGAGCACAGAAGGAGGCTATTTATTTTGGAGTCTTGTCTAATTTACACTAACTGTGGATCAGGGACCCATAAAAAGGCTGGCAAGCAAAGCAGAGCCAGGCTGTGGGCTCTGGCTACATGGCCACGACAAGGCACCATTCATCACTCACCCATAAACACGCTGAGATGGCCGTGGCCTGGGAGCAGATCTGGCCAAGGTGGGTCTGTTTTTTAATGCTTGCTGCACAAATAGGTGTCTGTTGGCTGCCTTGGGTTGCTCCATGTGCATGAAAGTGCCATTGCTACAGCAGGGAGCTTTTACAAGCTGCACGTCACTGCAGCCAGCCTCCTTGCTTTGTCCATGAAGACACAACTCCAAGTGCCTAAGGCAATTTGGAGTTCAGTTTCCATCTACTGAAAGTACAGAAGGGGGAGAGGCGCAGCCACGTTTCAACCTATGAGAGCAAAAAAATAAAGAACGTGATGATTAGGAACTGTTCTACAGCATTTCCTTCTGCAGCACCCCAAAGCATTCTCAGGGAACCCTGCAATGCCAAACTTCTGAGCAGAGCAACAAATAATCATTGTTTAGCAGCCTTTTGTAATCTACCCAATGGTTTTTAAATAAACTGGATGGAAAATAATGGAGATTTCAGGCCCTGGAACCCATTACTCTTGCATGCCAAGAGCAATGCCACTAAGTGCAACAAGGACCCTGAAGTTAATGAAATTCCTGCCTGAGCAAACTTCTGTCATGCTGTTCAGTAAAATGACTTTGTGCATCATAAAAGCAACATCACTCAAACTGTTAAAATGCCCTCTGTGTAACGTGAGGCGAAGGCACAGGAGGAATGTATTTGTTAAATTACATATAACCGGTCATATATATTTAAAATATATCTTTATTAGGTTACTGGAGGTTGTTGAGTTTAAAGCACGATGGTGGATTGATCAACTGCTGTGCCAGTGATACAAGTCTCCCGTTTGAATAGAAGGCTGAAAAATTTTAACTGATTTCCATACAGAACAGCAATCCATCACCCCACCACGCCTGGAAAGGTTCCATTTCTAGAGCAGCTTTCTGTGAAAGTGCTTCATTGACAGTCAAATGAATAAATAGCTCAACCACTTCAAAGTCCCCAAAGGAGCATTTGTTTGAAGAAGGCATTTTTGACAACAGCATCCACCCTGTTTCCAGAATTCCTCATAATCCTCCACACTGACTGAAGCTCTGTTTTGCATGAGAAGAGAATTGTAGGGGAAAAAAAAAGAAAAAAGCCTTCCAGACGGCTCTAATTAAGATTTGTCCTGATTAAACACATTTCCAGAGCTGGATTTTTGAAGTCCTACCCTTAGTCCAAGCGGAACCAGCTGCAAGTTGAATGTGGACTGAACTTGTGAGCTTTACTGGCCTTTGGATGTCTGTGCAGGGGATGGAGTTTGGCTGCTGGCATCTCACCTGCACTATGCCAGAGGATGCACGGGACCGACTTCACTTCTGCTGGATGAAGGCTGGAAGGTCTGGGAATGCACATCTGAAGGGCTGACTGACTCATTTCAACCTCCACTCTCCCCCTCCTTTAAGTTTTTAAAGAATTTAGCTGGAATTTATTTTAGAGATCAGCTACGTGCAGTGCCTGTGAGTAATCTACCCTGGCTACCTCCAGGCATCATTTATCATTTTCCCTGCTCCTTCATTAGTGGAGCTGCCCATAAAAGATCCAACAAGCCAGCAACTTGTTGTGCCAGTTCACATCCATGGAGCAGGTGAGACCAGAGCTTCATCTTGGGCATATTTGGAGCTTTCATTGCTTTTGGACCAAAACCCCCATGACCAGCAGCAAAGCTGTTGATACACACCGATCACAGAAACAAAACCATCCCCCTTGGAAGATGCTGGTATGCTGTTGAGCAACAACGGCACGGAAAGCATTTCCAATTGCAGGTTGCAGGGAGGTTTCTTGGAAGCAATCACTTTGCTGGTCTGATTCACTGACATAAACCTGGAGGGCTCGCTGTGTTTCATCTCCCAGCTGCAGCTGTCACCTCCTAGGTTACATCTGGCTCCTGACTGAGCACTGTGCAGACCCATGGGTGCAGCAGGGGCCTTGCAGTGGTCCTAAAGCATCCCACTGAGAGGCAAGCACCCCAAAATCTCAGCACTGTGTGAATTCAATCTTAGAATAGAACCATACAATGATAGAATGGCCTGGGTTAAAAAGGACCACAATACTCATCAGTTCCAACCCCCTGCTGTGTGCAGGTCACCAACCAGCAGCCCAGGCTGCCCAGAGCCACATCCAGCCTGGCCTTGAATGCCTGCAGGGATGGGGCATCCACAGCCTCCTTGGGCAACCTGTGCCAGTGCTTCACCACCCTCTGTGTGAAAAACTTCCTCCTAATATCCAACCTAAACCTCCCCTGTCTCAGTTTAAAACCACTCCCCCTTGTCCCATCCACCCTGTTGTTTACATGCTCCCTGAGCCGTGTGTTACTCAACTCTCATTGCACTCCATCCTCAGGCACTGCCCTATTGCTCTGCACACCCATCCTACGGCTTGAAAAATACGAGCTGTCAAGAGCAGGCAGATGGAAAAACACCAGCAGGAGGGTGGCCAGTTGATGTCTTTAACACCTGCGGAGGTGTCAGCCCAGAGGATGGGTGGAGGGATGGACACCGTGTGCCTGAGATCACAGCACAGCCATCTCACCATGAGCCCCGCTCCCCTCGCAGGCATCTCTCCAACACACCATATTTTTTGCCAAGGGCTTAAGCCACTGGCAGTTCTTTTCACAGTCTTCTCCATCACCTCTGAAAATACCCGAGGCTGATCTTGAGCAGATATCAGAGCTCAGAGAATAGTTTTAAAAGGCAGAGGAAGGGAGACTGTCAAAACAGAAAGAAACAAGAGTGGGGCAGAAGCCTCCTAGAGAAGGTCGTGCACAGGTGGTGACAACTGTGGCCAGCACCTGTGACCTGGTGATGCCCCAGTGCATGGCCAAGAGGTAGCTCACCCAGCCCAGCCTCGCCATGCCTCACAACCCATCTGCCTCCCCCTCTTTTTGCAGGGGACTGGTGGCGCCTCGCTTGTTTCCAACACTTGCCTGTTCTTCAAGGTTTGCCAGCAAGTTATGAAGTCCTTATGAGCTCAGTCTGCAGCTAGGGTTAGTCCAAGTCCAGGGCTGATTCAGACGTGGGCTGGAAATGAGGGAAATTGAGAAAATGGGTGTGTGCTTGTGTAGAAATGAAAAAGCATAATTGCTTCTGCCCCTCCCAATCACTGTCCCATTGCCCTGCCTTGTGTCAGGCCCCAGACGTCTCAGGAATGTCTGGGCTTGCAATGGTCATGGCTCCAGTAAGCCTCCCAGGAGCCCAGCTGAAGAAGGCACGTGCTTTCTCTCAGTGTGCAAAAACACAGATGAGGACAATTTGGAGACCAGTGACAATCATCAAGGGTGACGAGGGGCTGAGAAGCCATGATTTACAAGAGATGGTTGTGTTTAGTGTAGGCCAGGACAGCAGGCAGAGGGGCACGATAGCAGCTTTCCAGCATGGAAGAGCTGTCGTGGAAGGGCTGCTACAGGGAGCTGGTCGCAGCTGAGACATTCTCTGGGTTATGCCACCTCAAAAAGGCATTGAGAGTGAAGGCGTTAGGGACGACTGGGTCTGGATGAAGAGCAGCTGGGCACACTGTGACAACTTGGTACACCTAGGCCCTGTCCCTGAATTTGCTTCTCCTTGGTATAACCAAAGTCTTTCCTTCTCATCCTGGGTTACGTCTGCCCTGCACCACCAGAAAGCTGCAAACAGACCCATTCTGTGTGTCCAGCTTTCTGCCTCATTTACCTTCCTGCCCCAGCAACCAGAGGACTGCAGCACTTCAGGGCCGACTTTGGAGGACTTTGCAAACCGTTATCTCACGAGGGGTTGTTTCGCTCCATTCCCTTTTAAAAACAGGGAGCACATGTGGCATTCTGTGAAGCAGATGGCTGGCTTGGTGCTCAGGCTGCCTGGACCCATCATCTCCCATGCACACACACATACACGTGCTTTCAGCAGTGCTGGGGATCACGACCTTGCAGATGGTGTGGGCGAACTCTGTGCAGGACAGATAGATGGATGGATGAGGGGAATGCTCCGGGTCATTCCAAGCGTTTGGTATTCCAGGAATCTGGGGGGATAAAGGGCTTCATCTTGGGAGGATTTGTGATGAAATAGCTGCAGGAGTTCCAGAGGGGATGTTTCACACCTCAGCTGAAAGTCAGCAGTGTGTGGACACTGGAAAAGGCTTCAGAGAGGGCAGAGGAGGGGGTAAAGGTGGTTCTGGGGAGCACTGAGGTCATGGATGGGGGTTCATTTGCTTTTCTCCTCCCCTCTTCATTTGCTCTTGAGCTTGGCAACCAGAGGGAGACGCCCAGACCAGATGTCCAAGGCTGCAGGATATGACCCTTGGCTGTGCCGAGCATCATCGTCCTCTCTGCCCCAATCCCCAGGTCCCCGTATCAGGGTCATGGACGGGTTGTACTGATCTGGCCCAGATTTGCGAGGCTGAGTCCAGAAGGAGAGGCCAGCATGGGATGCAGCTGAGTGGGCTGCTGTCCAGGTGGGTGCATCTGGGGGAAGTTTGTTTTGCAAAGCTGCTACTTGTCCTGAGGTTATTAAAGGCACGCTTAGTGCATTATCTTCTATTTGGGACCATGCTGGTGGGCCAAGCATCACTGCAAAGGCAAGAAGAGGTGCTTTTGCAGCCTTTAATAACATAATTCTAAGCACTCCCAGGGTATATCCACAGCCTAAAGTGGGTAACTTGTATGCATGATCAATGAATATTAAGATGCTATAATTACAAAATAAAGAAGAGAGTTAGGCAAAGCAGATCATGGTAACAAAAAGAGAATAAATAGAAAGCTTACCTGTATCCTGGGCTCACTTACAAAACTCCAGCAGAGCAGATCTCCAGGAGAGATCCTTCCCCACTGGTAGCCAGCTCTTAAATAGGTCTAGGAGCAAAGGTGAATTGCCTTCACCTGTGCTCCTCTGGCTGACTCATGGCTCACTTCAGGTGATCAATCAGAGGTTCAGGCCGTGACTGAGCAGCTCCCATACAGTATAAGTACATGGAGAGATTGCATGTAATAGTTTCACAGATCACATTGCTTTCTTGTTTGTATTGCCCTCTCTGTGTTTCGTTCATTGCCTTGTTTTTCTTTTGCTTTCTTTCTGCAGCATCTTAGCTGCAGGGCCAAGACCCCTCATTTTATCCACAGAACAATTAGCCTTTATTTGGTAAGAATTTAGAAACATTGCATATTTTGCTGTTGCTTTTCCAGTAGCTAATATCCCCTGTTTAACTACATTCCTTCTAAAATAAAAGAGTCACAGTGCAGCACAGCGGGTGGCTGGGAGGTAGCATCCATCCCCAGCCTTCTGTAGGGCTGAAGTGCTTGGTAACAAAACCAAGGGCCCTCTTCCCATCTTCACTGCCAGGGAAATGAGATTGCAGGAGCTGGCCAGGACCCAGGGCTAAATGCAGCTTTGTAAAAGAGTTGAGAAGCTCCTGTGAATGAAACTCAGGGAAAAAGGCTGCCTCCGAGCCAGTCCTGGCAGAGGAACCTACCTCTGAATGGGGCTTTTCCCTCGTGTTTTCCTTCTGGCATCCTTCTAATATGACAGCAATTAAAAGCTCTGAAAAATGGATGGAAACAATTTGGAAGAGGTCTCTATTAGATTTGCTCTCATTAGCACTGCAGGCTATTTTTTCAGCTGCTAATTGACAGCTGCCTTCCATATGCAGCATCAAAAGCCCCAAGACATTACACCAGGGGTAATTTTAACCTGGACTGTCTCTTTGGGAACATTGAGGAAAAGCAACATGGAGCACACCACAGACAAGGGAATGCCGAATGCTTTGAGAAAGCCATGGGTCCCTCAAAACTTCAAGAGGAACCTTAAAGGAAGGGGTTTCCTAGACTGGGTTTTTTGCTATAGGAGATGGAGAGCTCCTGCAGAAGCATAATTCTAGCAGGAAGATGAAAATCCACAGAAGTGGGCTGGCCAGCAGAGCCAAAGCCTGGATCTGTAAGAGAGACAGAGATGCCTGGACGGATGTTCAGACCCCAGGATGCCACAGAGCGAGCAGGAGAGCTTGGAAACATGATGCAGAGCTGTGTGCTCGGCATATTTATGCAGCAGCAACCTTGGAAAGGACTGGAAAGCTAACAGCTCTGTATGCCAGGGCGGGCATTTGTTGTTTAAACAAATCATGCATGAGCTGTTGGGTTTCCTTTAGCAAAGCCTTCTTGGCACCAGACCCAGACTTGTTAGGAGAGCTGGCTCCAAGACTTGTGTGGAAAGCATAGAAGACGTTCTCAGGTTTTGGCACAGGGGACCTCTTGCCTTGGGTTGAGGATAAACCCAACACTGTGCCATTGCAGGGTGCCCTGCATCTGGCTGGCATCGCCTTGGATGGAAGCTTTGCTCTGGCTTTTCTTCTAGCTGGAGACTGCCGTGCATCAAGGCTATTTAGCTATTAGATGGAGATGCTATTGTTCTAAAGAAGTCATTCCTTGGGCACAAGGAAGCAATGATGGTTTCCCCAAACTGAGGGCAGGGAGTTATCTGAAACACAAATAACCACTACAGGCCACTGATGGCTCTGTTTCTATTAAAGATAAATATGTGAGAGATCAAGTTCTACAGCTAGCTTAGCTAATAGTTGGCTACACAGCTGACATCTCTACATAAGCTCACCCCTAAATAACTGAGCTTCAGAGCTGGCCAGGAGTTCCCCACTGAAATAGCTCTTTCGGGTAGACAAAAGCAATTTCTGCAGACTTGGAATTTTTCTGCAGGAAAGGAAACTGTTTTGGAGGGTCCCATTTTCCCTTGAGAGCAAACAGCAAAAGAGCCCACAATCCTAACAACATTAAATTTCAATTGGGTTTCCTTGGGATGAAAGCCCTGCAGATTGAAAAGCTTAACCAAGATGTTGAGTCTTCGCCAGTGTACAATGAGTACAGCATTAACCAGAATCTCTAAAAATGTGGCCTTGCTGCAATCCATAAGCTGTTATCCTGGCTACATTCAGACTAAATTTCCCATGATACTTTCCATATTCCCACTTACCTGGGTGCCATAGGCCATGGACTGATGGCCTGTTGGGACAGATAACCTTGAGAAGACCAAGACCTACATCTAAATCAGTTGAAGGTTACAACACAGGAATCATATATTGGTTCAGTATAGCTGCCAAGTAGGAAATTACTGTTATTTCAAAAGATACAAGCAACCAGCAACAGGAAGAGGAATCAGAAGACAGTGTTTTTCGAGTACAGATGGTTTCATTTGGTGTTCAGGAGCACAGGATATCATCCCTCCACTGTCTACATGTCCATACGGATCAGTTAAATGGATTTAGGATATGAGTTGTCTGTCTTCTGGATATCTTGGTGTAAATTCCCATATGGATGCTTTTATCCTGGTACACAAGTACTTTCCCCTGTGCAGATAATCTCATTTGGGGGAATTTAAAATGAGACTCTACTCCTGCCCTGGAATAACCATTCTTCTGGGGGAATCTACCCACACAATCCAACTGGGTTATCTGCCAGCATAAGAAAGAAAAGAGCTTTTGCAACTCTGCTGTGCTGGGCTGACTCGTACACCGCTGACCATCCCTGTGTGTCCAACATGGATATGTGGATAAATTCTTCCCAGTATCCAATTTAGCTTCACTTGAGGCTGGATGGGCAGTGGGAGAAGGACTGGGCTCTGGCCCCATCTCCATTGCTTGTGACCTAGGTGGGTCACCACCAGGCTGTTTTCCCATCTGTGAGATGGGGACAAGAAAGTGTCATAGCAGAGTTAGCTGGGTTTTTAATAGAGGCCTCTGGCTGAGATGTTGAAACAGCCCAGGGGATTGAGAAGCCCATTTATTCTGTACAATTCAAAGCAGGCAAATGACTCAGATTTCCTTGACACTTTTGAACATTAAAGTTAGAAAAAAGCTTTCTCTAAAGCATTTGTCTTGAGGGAAGCAGCCACTGGAATATGAGTCTTTCTTTTTCCAAGTACAAACGAGAGCAAATTACCAGTGGAGCCAAAATGGGGTGGGTTTTTTTTTTTTTCTGGTTTGACTTTTACATTGAAACACATCAGATACAGATCTGAACATCAACTGCTCTGCATGCAATATTTGTGGTAGGAAAGCAGCCGATGCAATGGTCAGAAGGAAACATTTTGACTATATGGGATGGAAATGTTTCCATAATTTCCTGTTGAAACTGCAGGTGAAATCGATACATTTTCCCAAAATGTTTGGATTTCATTAAATTGCCATTGTTGGCCAGCTCCAATAGCAGCAACAGTGTGGGTTTGGTTTAAACAGCCAATCAGACAGAAAAAATTTTCTCCAGCATTGCCACATATTACTTCCTAGGCTTGGTAAGGAAGGGAGTGAAGGACAAGACACAAGAAGGCCTGTCCTAGGCTGGGGAGCAGGGGAAAGCTGCAGGAAGGCACCTTGCAATAAGGCCAGGGATTGGGATGCTCCAGTGCAGGTTGGTAATTAATTGCGCCGTTCTAAGTCAGGACAGCTGAAATACAGAGGCAACAAAGGGCATTTAATGGGCAGTAGCAAAGCACTGTGAAAAGGGAGACTGCGGAGTGAGGAAGAAGATAAAAACGAAGCAGAAGGAATGCTAACATTTCTTGGCTTTTTATCCATATGCCGAAAATATTTGATCCCACACAGGGCCAGAGAACTGAACTGTATAAACTCTTCCTTTGCTTCCAGCCCTGTTTTTAAAGGCAAAATGGATACATCTTGTTTTCATTCTGACTTTTACAAAATCTGATATGGTTCTACGACTTCATTAAAAAGACATTTGGAAACAAACAAACGCAAGGCTTGACCAAAATCTTTATAAGCTAATTTCTCTCCTGGAAAGATTTCATTTTGACAAAGGGGAGTTTACCAAAGGGGAAAAAATAAATCACTCCCTTGGAAAGCATTCAAGCTGCTCTTGTTTTCCTCTGCTTGTTGTTTACTGCACGCTCAGACATAGCAGCAACACCAAGGCTGTGCTTTTAAATCGGTGCCAAGTTGACCCCTTATCCCACCTATAGACCTTGTGGCTGTGAAGACAGACTTTAACCCAGGGTTGGCGTTGGCTGAGTGCAGAAACACTTCACCCAAGTCTTCACGTGTTATTACTTCCTAATCAAAAGTCCATGGCCACGTAGAATCCACAGGAAACCTTTCCCTCCAGCCAGAATGGGTGATGGTGATAATTAGTTCTCACCTGAGGTAATTGTTCTTCTGCAGGCCGTTGGTCTGATGTATTGGAAACCCTAAAAAACAGAGAGTGAAAAGGAGACCAAGAGCTTCACTTGCTGATGTGAGAGAAGCCAAGCTGGGATGGATCACTTTCACTTGAATGCAACGTTTTTAAAAGGAATTTGTGAGAGATACGCAGAGGGAAATTCCTAACAGCATAAAAGGGAAGAAGGGATGGCTCATAAAAGAGCGATTCCCTCTGTTTTTTTTGGCAGCCCAGCCAAGCTCCCCAAATGCAAGGTTGTAAAAGGACTCCACGCAGTGCAGAAGACAATAACAAGCAGGTGTTATGGAAATGACCCTTCCCTGAGCAGATTTATGCCTGCCATCTCGTCTGCTTCTTAAATCTGTTTCCAAGGAGCAGATGCAGCCTTAACCTCGAGTCCAACAGACATGTACAGGTGCTGTGTTTTGTGGTGGATCTCGTGTCCCTCTGCCAGCTCAGTGCCAACAGGTGTCACACTATGGACACCTTGCCACCACCCCTGAGCTGAGCTCCTCACCACCTGGGGCATCCAGCTACCAGGCACAAGAATATATAGCACAAGAGTATAGAAGCCAGTAGCTACCACCAAAAATAACGATGGGATGAGCATGAGTTCCCCAGATGTCATAAGTATCTCTCATCTTACAAGGGTCTCAATCATTCCACTCAGTGGGGGCTCTATCAGCTCCAAAAATCAGAAAGCATATTTCTCTGCTCTGCCATTGCAAGTGTAAACATGCTGAGATTTCTCCTATAAAGAAGCAGCCAGCCTTGCATAGAGGCTGGTTTTGAAACTAGCTCTTAATTTGCCTGCAGGCAAATGTTGAGGTGCCTGCCACTCAGGCACATCTTCAACCCAATACGAATAAGAAACATACAAAACAGACAAACAAACAAAAAAAAAAGCAACCCAAAATATGATGGTGGGGATATTCCTGTCCTTGCACTGTGCAAAACTCAGTTATATTAGGCCATACTAATGAATGGAAATCTTCATAATCTGGTTCGTTTTTCCTTATGTCTGAGTTCCATGTTTTCAAACAAAATGTAGCTTCAATTGGAACCAAGAAAGGCAAAGACCAGCCAAAATTAGCAACTTTGGCTTGGATTCGTGCTGCTATTTTCCAATAGTCTCTCCTCAAAACCACAAATTAGCGCTGTGTAACTTGAAAACAGACTTTGCAGATGGGATCCTGACGGTGGGGATTTCCATGCAGGCTGAGTCCTGCAACAGAGCAACATTTTGGAGGCTGTTTTTACACCTCTCCTTCCCTCTTGCCCAATTCCAGGCCTCCCCAGTTTTCACTTCCAGGTTTTCTTGTCCTCCATCCTGGTTTTGCCAATGGCAATAACCTGCAACAGAGGGCGAAACCCTCCTCAAAGCTGAATGCTTCACTTCTCAGCTTTCTAGGATGGATTTCCAACCACTTCCTACTCAGCCTGGGCTGCTGATTGTTTTCCTGCAGCCTGTGGGGATTCCTTGTTCACGTGCAACATGTCTCCTTCTACAGCTGAGCAGTGGAAATAAAATAATAACCCGAAAACACAACCCAAACCCAACCACAAAACACTTCTTGGAGACTTTTGCTGACCACAGCATCTCCTCAAGGTGGGATGAGGAAACGCAGAGAGGCTCCTGGTGGCACCTCCCCAGTTTCTCTGCAATCAAGAATTTAAACATTTGTTATCTCCCACGCTTGGTGGTTCTGGTTCAGGTTCAGCTGTGAGCCAAGTTCAACTTCTGCTGATGGGGAAAACCCTGCGGTGCAGCCTGTGCTTGCTTTGACTTGTTGCACTCATGTTGCTTTTTGCATAGGCAGGAAATCAAGCATGAAGGTGCTCAGCCCCTCGGCATCAGTCTCTTTTCCAGCAAACAGCCCTAATCCTCTCTGCTTGACACAGTTTGAATCTGTTTGACACAGCTGCTAAGATTGCACTCAAGTCACATTTAAGCGTGTGCTTAAACACTGCAGCATATTTAATGTTTGCACAAAGGTGTTGTGCAAGAGCTACTCACTCCAGGTCCCATCATTCCCGACGATTTATGTGTTGACAGAGGTTAAATAGATGGAAAAGAAACCACTGGGCCATTGAATCTACAATAAAGCAATGATAGCACCTATAAATTAGGGCAGTAAAGGATTTGGACAGAAACAGCGATGTTAATTGCTGCAAGCTTGGCTAAAACACCCAGATGTAATGAGGGTTTTTTTTAATTTTTCTTCTTCTTCTTAAAAACAACCAATTTCTGGCATTCTGAACTTGCTTTTTACTGAAAGGGGTAAGAACCATTTAGGGCTTTAAAGCAACGAGATGGTTTCATAATGACTAATCTTTGGAAAACATGGAAAATTTTGTTCAAATAAACCAAAAGGCTGCAGTAAGCCTTCAAACAAAGTCGAAATTAATCTGTCAGAAATGTTCTCTTTGGCTCCAAGAACTCGCGGAAATGAGGAAATTTAGAGTTTGGAACAAAAAGCTGAATTATTAGCCCAGGTAAGTGGTTAATGAGTGCTAAATATACATGTCAAGGAAAGATATACAAACTGAAAGTGGCACTTCTCAGAGATTATGTAGGGAGGGAATAACGATAAATTAAACCCATCAAGCTGCCCCTTGGCATAGCCCAGCATCATTAGAGGCAGCAAGCTGCAGTCTTGCTCCCATGGCTTTGCCCATTCCTCCCTTTCTCATCTCCCTGCACCCACAGCTGCCCATTGCATCTTACCTTCAGGGCTGAGGCCTGCAGGCGGTGGCCTTTCTGCTCCTATTTGTGTGTTTTTACAGGGGTGAAGGATGGGTTGGAAGCACATATTGCCTTCTGCTGCTGGCTCGGATATCCCAGCTGCCACTGCATGGTCTCCATTGAACTGTGATTTATCTGCAGAGGAGTATGGGGGGGATGCCCCAGTCACACTGTTTAAACCAGAGCTGCCAACCAGGCTCTCCTTTCAGCTCCCTGTGCCCCTGAGACTAAACAGGTTTGGGCTTAGCTGAAAGGCATTGCCCGTGCCAGGGGATTTGTCATCATCTCTTGAGCCTGGGGAATGCAGGACCCCAGCACAGGCACAGCTCCCGCTCGAAGGGGCTGAAGAACCTCAGGCGTTGTTTATTTTGGATGTTGGGAAATGGTAATAAATAAGGCCAAAAAGCAGCACGTGTGAGCACTGAGTCAGCTTTGGATACCAGCAAAAGAGATGATCTCAGAGTGGATGGGACCTCACTAGGGCGGCGGGGCAGGACGTCACATCAGCCTCTAGGGAACATCTAACCCCAGACACAGAGCTTTGTGCTGGGCTTTGGTACCCTGATTTCATCCTGCTGCTGTCCTGTCCCTAAAGGAGCATTTTTACTGCATTTGGTTTTCAGTCATCTGACGGATGTGGTGAAAGTCACCTTCCCTGGGAGCAATTCCCAAGCTGGACAGGGTGCCCTCCAGGCTTTTAACTTCTCCTTGCAGCACTCCAGATTCTATTCACAGAATAGCTCGGGTTGGAAGCGATCTCAAAGATCATCCAGTTCCAAATCCCTACCCCTTACTTTTGGGCACCTTTTGGCATTGCCTCCTGCAAACCGCTGCCCATGGGCGTCTTCCAAGCTGATGGCTGTTTCTTGGGCAATCCAGAAAATATCCTTCAGTGTCTCCAGATACAGACTGCCTGCAGCTGCTCTGCTCTGCAAAGAGATGGGAAGCGTGAGAAAACCTGAGCTCTGGACTCACAGAGCTGGGAGTGAGAGGGCCATGAGAGGGTGGGGAAAAGCCACCCAGTTCTTTAGATATTCATGAAAAAGGGGATGGAAGGAGGGATGCTTTACAGCCTGTACTGGGAGGGACTGAATGCCCCAGCTCCAGGAGCACAGTTGTAATAGGGGCGTGAAGTTAAAGAAAGGGATTTGAGGGATTTAACCTGCTCCTGTTTTATATTTATCCTTCCCTCCCTACACTACCACTGCCTATGGGGACAGGGATGAGGTTGGGGTGCTGCAGTCTGTGCACATGGGACAATCTCACAGCAGCATCACGATGCCATCCTATGGCTGTGATGTGCTTCGGATGTCACCTGGTGCCAGGCACAGGGCAAGAGATATGATCCAAGCCAACCTCATGCTTCTGCCATCTATCCTTTTTTTCCCCCATCAAACAGGATTTTGTGATTATTATAGTTTTCTGCTAGAGTGAGAGTCTTTAGCAAAGCAATTGGATGCGTTTAGTGTTTAAAAACAAGAGCTGTGAGCCTGCACTTCTAATTTATGGACAGGATTTTACCAGTTGGATGAGCTTGTGTTGTTCTCCTATCCCCTCCAGGCTGAGGACCCCAGAGTCAGCCTCTGTGTGAGCTGCAGCTGAGCAGATGTGAGCAACTCACATTTCAGGAGAGGGGGAAGAAGCATCCTGATAGTTACAGAAGACAAGGGGCGGAGGATGCCATTGCAAACAACGTGTTGTTTTTTGGAAGGGGCTGACCAGGATTCGCTTGGAGGCCAAAATCCCTTTAATCACTAAGCTGCATTTTCTTCTCCTGCTTTATTTCTTGTTGCATGACAATGTGCTCAAGTGAAAAAAGCTATGGGCAGACCATGATAAACTGAGTCTCCTCCGTCTTTCTTCCAAATCCTCAAGAGGTATTATTTCATCCTCCACATGATACAGAAATAATATTTACCTCTGCTGCAGCCAAAATACAGCATCCACAGTGCAGTGCATGAGTGCACGTCTGTCACACATCTGGATGCCTGGGATGATGTAGAAGGGTGCAAATACAGCCCTGTAACGTGAATCTAGCAGGAATGGCTGGCCACCACCCAAGGAAAATGGCCAACCCGTCAGTGCGGAGCGAAGGAGGCGGTCAGCCCTCATCCCATGCGCTCACACCGTGCCTGCCAAAGCAAACTGCCTGCCCCGACCCTCCCTGAGATTCTCAGCACATCCATGGTTCTGTAAGCACACCACAGCGATCCTTGAGTTATCTCAAAACACAAATAAAACCAGTGTGAAGGGAAGGCCTTAAGACAGAGTGGTTCTGTGCCGAGCGTTTCCCATCTCCTCCTCACGTGGCTTCTTTCCCAAGGTCTGAGAACAAACGCCATGGACCCACCTCCTCCTAATGCCTTCCACATAGAGATACATGGCTGCATAAGACCACGGTCCCATCACCACTCAGTTCTGCCTATTTCCCTCAGTTCTCTCAAGTAAACATAATCCTGCCAGTCTGTCGGGAGGGAATTATGCAGCAAGTCGATGTGATGGAGCTCTCTTACTACCCAGAATGGTTATTTCAGCCTTGTTTGCAGCCTGAAAAAGAAAAAAAAAAAATGAAAAAAGAATTAAAACAATGAGATAAATTTGGTCTGAGTGTTTGGATAGTTTGTCAGATTAGTAACTCACTCTGGACACATCACTGGAAGTGCTCCTACCATTTTGATTAAGCGATTTCTGTAGCCCGTAATTTTCTTCCATCAGTGTAAAAATCATTGTGCTTAAGAGACGTTTGGAAAAAGGAGGAAAGCCAACAAAATGAGATATCGGGCTGACAGCTAAGCTCAGGTGACAGTTCTTTGAGATGTCCATAACCTGTCCTGGTGGATACTAAACCACCTTGCCCGTGCCTGGTTGTGTTGAAACGAGGCCAATGATTGCTTTGATTTTAGCAAGAAGCAACGGTTAACTCCATTAACTCCAGCTCTTGACAAAAAAAGACAAAATCTGGTTCCCACGTGTCTCTTATTTTTAACATGATGATGCCTTCGGTATGGCGTATCTTCACATCACGCGAGATGATTAATTCAAATTGGCTCAGATGGGAACAGTCCATGAATGCTATGAGCTAGATGGAAGAAAAAGCAAAAAGGCAACCAACAGAGTACGTTGTTGGCAGAGCTGTGGATTCCACAGAGAGGTCAGAGTTAGGTCTATATATATATATATATTTTTTTTTTTTGGTCATTTCTTTATTAATGACATGAAAACGGAACAGGATACAGTAGTAAAACAAGGAGAGGGGAAAAAAATGGCTAGTGCAGGCAATAGCAGAAAAATAGTATTTCTATGAGGTTACCTCTTAGATGACACCTGAAAAAGCATGTTCCTTTTTGGGCACCCAACTCCGTAATTGGGAGGGAGCTCATAGAAGAACAACAGCAATGGTGGAGATGGAGGTGTTGAACTTGGCTCAAGGAAAGATTGGCTGGAGCAACAGGCTGTAAGTGCTTAAAGAAAACAAACACTCTGGGAGAAACCCTGACCTTGAGACTTCCACTGACTTCAGCGTAGCCAGGATTTCACACCAAAGAGGAAGAGGAATTATTTGGCGGTAGGGAAGGCTACATGCAAGGGATACAAATAGAGGAGGCGAAACAGGAGTTTGCTATCAAAGGAAAACAGGGCAATAGATTTCAATTTTGTTTAAAGACAGCAAAAACAGGGTGCCAGCAAAATGTTGCAGAAAGAACCAACCGCAGTTTTGTAATCCTTTAAATTAGAACAAGGTTAAGTAAAACTAGTGTTACATATTCAGCTCCGAAGAGTGAGGAAAACTGAATGCTAACAAAAGCAATGCTACACCCCCTGCAGCCAAACTCCCAACTGTAGCAGGAGGCAGCGTCTCCCCAGTTTAGACACAGATGGTTTTATATGAGAAATGTAAATAAGATGTTACCATCTGGTTAATAAAACACACATCTAAGCTGGATTTGATGGCACGTCCCCAGATGTAAACATTTAAAAATACTTTATTTTTTTTAAATACTTTAAGACTTTCATCCAAAATGGCCAAGAAGGAAGAATTCTCACTGACATCAAAGTGTTGAACAGAACTGCAAAATGTCTTCTCTCCCTGTCTATCCTATAAATTATGAAGTTATATTGAATCTCAATGCTGTCTGTGCAGCAATGTAACCAGGTTTTACTGCCAGAACATACAATACGTTGCTCACGAACTGATGAAATCTAGAGGCTATTGGAAAACTTGTCTTCTGAAAATGTAAGGCAAAAGGCAAGCTATTTTCAGTCAGTGGTAACTTTGTTGAGATGCTCCAGTTTGGAAATGAAATCCATTTATGCATTTGAGTTTAAATTGTCAACTATTTGTTTGGTATATAGAGAGAAACACATTTTGAGGGGAATAGAAACATTGAGGTCTTCAAGAGACATTTCTTCTCGCGACTAGATGCCAAAAAGAAAGACACCATGCTGGGAATGCTGTCCATTTGCAGGCCTGTTGGAGTCATCTTGTTTAATCCTCCACATAGAAGATACTACACATCTATCTGAATGTCCAGGAGCTTGAGGATGAATGCCTTGATGGAGGCATCTAGCTTTGCCTGCACAGTAAGCAATGACAGGAAACCACAGCCTTGGACGCCAACCACACCAGCATGCAAACTGTCAGAGCCTTTTGCCAATTTTTATCTTTACAAAGGGGTTGAGTTAGCAGGAAGACTGCCAGCATGAAAAAGAAGGCAAGATAGCATCACTCATAGTCTGCATGCACACACAAGGAGGAAACACCATTCAGCAACAATATAAAGAGCTTGCCAATTCCACGTGAGATAAGCAGCTTAAGCTATCCTCTTGCGTGTGTGTTTTGGAAGCAGCTTTAGCACGACACACATCAACACTGCATAGTGCAAGACTCTTGTCATCTAACTCAAGCTTTTAATGACTGTTATTATTTTAATGTTTCCAACCATTGTGAATAGCTAACAATGGAACAGCAGTTTAACTAATATATCTGTCTCAAGGGTGCTCACTGAAAATAAAGAAAGAGAAATTGGTCTGCTCAGGTGGAAAAAGCAAGAGGAAAGACAGAGTTTTTCTCCAGGGATCCATTAGGGAGGTTGCTAGCAAGGTGCAATTTGAGTCCAGATTTTCTGACCCATCAGCCTGGCTACCACGATGTTTTTGCTTCCAGTGAGATGTAAGATTTATTTCTGTGAGGCTTCTTTATCAGGATAGGACCAAAAAAACCCAACCAAACAGCTGCTAGCAAAGACTAGCAGAAAGGCACCAGGAATCAATGCTTTATCATATCTGAAAAATACCCCTGAGTTTTACTTTCTTTTTATAATAAAGATTGATAAAGTTAAGAATAACGCACCAGCACCTGCTTTGAACTTTCATCTCTTTGCATGCACAAGAAACACTGTGGTCTCAGGCCATCTTGGCCAAGCCTTGCTCAAGGTTGGAATGGGTTGCTCCATGCAGACCTGAGAGATCCCACAAATCCCTGACAACACGGTACATGGAAATGGCATTTCAATTCACTCTTTCCAAAAAAATAAGCGAGTAAATAAATAAATAAATCTCCATTTCAACATCAGAACTTCAAGAGGAGATCTGTCAATGAGTGGCCTCCCAGCTGGTCCCACAGTCTGTTGGGAAAAGCTGGAGAAACATCCGATAACGCGACAGTTGTCTTATTGCATGAACAACATCCAGCAAGTCCATCAAGCATCAGGACCTGCATTTTTGGCTGGAACCTTGATGAACCACTGCTACATCACTATGGATCAGGTAAAACAGTTGGCAGCTTGCTGCTTTGATCACTCAGAAGAGGGGGGAAAAAGGAAACCCTCAAACCTATTTTGCAAAGCCTGTTGCAGGCCGTTTTGGGCTGCCTTTCTGGTAAAAACTTTCCTCAAGACCAGTTCAGTCTTTGAGTCATTGTACACTGAAAGTTTTCACCTTTTGATTTAATTTTTACAGAGCTTTTTAAGAGGAAGCTGAAGATGTTTACTGACACGAACCTCACTTACCTTGCGATTTTTTCAAGTAGCAGAAATGTTCCATTTCAAGGCGCTCTTTGAAATGTTTTCCCTTTTTTCTGAGCACGTTTTAAGGCTGTGTCAATTTCCCTCATTAACAGTGAGAGGGGATTCCTTATCGGCTGCCTGGCACGGTGAGATGTTTGCATTACTCAGCCAGATGGACACTGACTTTTGTTTAAGTCCTCAATACTGATAGCAGAGGGGCAGGGCTGGGGTCAGGGTGCTGGCATCACCATGGGGCAGCCTTCCTTCCTCGTGAATGACCAAAGGCACATGCATTTGGGACCTTCTCTCCCCATTTCTTTTAAATGCCATACCATCAGTAACACAGCAACCATGGCTGGATTGGGTTTCGCATGGTGACTTCTTGGAGGAGTTCAAACCAGCCCCCACGTGTTACTTTAACAGTTAATTTTGTTTAAATATTTATAAGAGGCTTCCTTCAAATACACCTTTAAAAGAAAATAAAATAACCCTCAAAGCCCTACTACCACTTATTGCATCTTTGGCATAATATTTTCTTAACTTTTCCTGGGCTTTTTGCTAGCTGAGCTAAGCTCTCTCCTCCCCATAGCCCAGCCTGCCTGCTCTCCTCTTGCAGGGCAGCAGCTTGCCTTCTTGGTGGCTAACAGAGTTACATAGGACCGTAAGAATGTGAGGGTTTGGGGGGAGTAGGGAATGGAGGGAAGAAAAGGAACTTTTCAGATTCACAGACCTATCACAAGCACTTGGTTCTCACCTGCAAAAATCATCAGGAGCAAGAAAAAGTCCACAGAGCAAAACAGCTTACTGACACGAAGCATATCTGGCTTTCAAACCTAGGGACCTTGGAAGGACTGAAGGGCTCTTCTCTTTTCTCCTGGGTGGTTACTGACCCTGATTTGGGACCCATTTATGAAATGCTTTTTCCCAACTTGACCATTCTCCTGCCATCTCACCCAGGGCAGCAGAGCTACAGCCCATGGCCAATGAGACAAAACACCCTCCGACTCAATCTGCCTATGTTTTAAGTCCCCTTATCACCTGGGACAAAGTAAATCATTTTACGTCCATTGCATGTGCCCCCTTTCCATCCTAAAATTGTCTGGTGAGCAAATCCCAAGGCAGAGCTATCAGTCTGCCCCCAGCCATCTCCACTCCTGCACATGAACGCGATTCAATTTTGTGTCTTCCTGGGGTAAGTGTGACCTACTTCCATGGCCGCGGTACAGTTCATTATGAATTCCTAATGATCTCATTGTTCCATTAAATGAAGGTTGCCACCTGTCCCGAAGACTTTAGATCAAGCTGGGATTAACATATCTGCTGACCTATTTCTCCCTTTTGTAGGGCACGGCCTCTTGATCAATAGGTTTTCTGGCCGTCCAGGTTGAGTATGAGCAGCAAACGATGCTGTGATTCCCAGAGGATGCTGTGTGGCCTTACAGGGCTCC